CCGAGTGCTTCTCGACCCATGATCAGTTCTCTTCCTGCGTGGTCCGCTCCCAGTTTGGCATTCATGTCACCCATTTTAATTCTGATGTCGCCGACTGAAGGGGGGGTCTTGTCTAAAACTGATTGCAGTTGTCTGTAGAATTCCTTTTTCTTCCTTTGATCTGAATTATTTGTTGGCGCGTAGCATTGAATGGTTGTAACTTTCCTTCCTTTTGATTTGAATCTTGCTGTCATGATCCTGATCGTGGGGGAGATCGGTTTCCACTGCATCAGACATCATGAAATCCACTCCAGAACTCAGTGTGCTCGTGGTTGTCGTCTGGGTGACAATATCGGAGTAGATTATTGACTCTCCAGTTGACAGTTTGGAGAGTCCACTTCCATTCCATCTGCTTTCGCAGATTCCAAGCACTTCCATGCCATACTTCCTCTTCTCTAATGCAATCTGGGCAGCCTTGCCAGTTAGGTTCAAACATTGTTCGGACATTCCATGTCCTTATTCTTACTTTCGCTGTCATCGAGAGAAGACACATCGGCCAATTGGCTACCCAGAAGCTTTCACCAACCGGCATCATTTCGCCTCTTCGATTCCAGCGAGGAATACTTTTTTTCTAAATTTTTTTTATTTTCTTTGTGCTTTGAAGTTTATTTAGCTATTGAATTGGTTTTGAGGGGTAGGGTTGCTAGCCCTATGCCCAACCTTTCTTCTTTGCCCGGGCTTAAGACCGGCTAGAACTGGTGAACTAGTTAACCAGGCGAGGTTGGATATGCATCAGATGACATTAAAAAGGAATTTCAAGAAATGCATCGTAAGTCTTTACAGTTAATTAGTTAATATCAGTCACGCTGAATGCATGTTTAGATCAAACGATGAAAACATTCAGTTGGTTGATGGAAACTTTTTCATGGATACTGTTAAGAGAATGAAATCATCAGAGAGGTGATAAATTGACCGTGAAAGCAAAATAAGTGGACCTGAATGTCATTTATTCCAGCCCAAATCCCACCAACAATCTGCATAAAAACTATCAGCTCAGTAACAAAGATAAAAGAGGTCTTGCTCACTTTAAATTTTAGCGTATTGTATTCTTTGTTTCCTAATCACCAGAAGTGGCCATTTTAAAGGCATTTGTGTTCAAATCAATGGTGCATAAATATCCTATATGACTGTATCATACATCCAGAAACCATTTATGAGTTTCATCATCACAGAAATGAGCACAAAGATGTTATACTTGGTGAAATATTAACCAGCCTCTGAACATGGTTTCAGAATGATCATGACAAATGGAAAACGTGAGACAGAAAGCTATGGAGACAGGCAACGGTATGCATATTTTGTTTGTTAACATAACTTGCGTATATCGTTGCAGACGTGAATGAAGCTACCGATTCCGTTGCACAAAGCTTTGCGTAGTTATCCACCAAAAGCACATGACTGACCAGTTGCTTTGAGGACAACTCAGAATTTGAATGGGTCTTGTTCAGCGATGGAGCGTATTTATGAATAATTCCAGCTAGTTTATGTAAATAAATACCGTAAAAGTTTTCACAACATGAGGCATGATTAGCACCGAGGTTGATTAGCACACCATTAGTCTTGCGCAAGGTATGAAGCTAAAACAAAATCTCGAAGATTAGTGTAGAACTTAGCTGTTTATTATGCGGTTTATTATGACTTTTAAGTAAAGTGGGAAGATGATCAAGTGTAACTCAGATTGTTTAGGCTCAACTTTGGGCGTATTTTGATACCTGGTGCATTGAGGTCGAAAATTTGTTTTCTTCTCAAAAGACATTGCAAATGTTTTGAAAAGTAGCATCTTCAGAGTCATGGCGTCAAAATGTCTTCTATTTAGCCTATATTTAATATTTTGAGCTCAGCTTTGACAAAAAGTCTGCGTGAAAATTTCGCTCTAAAGAGTTCATTGCTTCTGATGTTTAACATTATTGTGAATTGAACTTAGCCACCGTGGTAGATTGTAATTCCATTTCACTTTGTTTACGAAATACATCACTTACATAAGCATTTTTGTTTAATGGATACTGCTTCACTGAGTTACACAATTGATAAGAAAGTAAAAGTGGAATTACTTGTGCACTACATAACTTTTCCTTCATTACCGAGGTTTTAGGTGGGTATCATTTTTGTCTTGCTTTATGGTCAGATTGATTGCCCATAACCTGCTGATTAGATAATACAGTGTACTAAACATGGTTATAGGTTCCGCAAGTTATGTAGCAGCATAGAATTGGATGCAGACAAATTTCGCAGCAAGCCAGTTTCTCTGTGAATTCGCATCTTGTTCTGTTAGCCTGTTACTCTCCCTATACAAGAAACTAACGGGATATTATCGACAGAAAAGCTGCAGTACGGTGGGGATGAAAACTGTCACCGGGCTTATGCTGAATCGGTAAATGCATCTAGTTTGATCGAAAACATTACTAGCAAGAAAGTGCAAGGCGATAATGAATTGAGTAAAACTAGAAAGATGATTGAAACGAGCAGTCCATCAAAAAGAAAAACTCAGGAGCAGCCAATACACCAGTTGAGAAATCCACTAATGGGTAGAAGAATCGCAAGTTTACGCCTGTCAAAGATATTGATATATCAGATTTAAGCAGTGGTCTTAACAGCTATGTTCTGAAAATAAGTTTAAGGAAGACATCATCAGTTCACACTCTCGTTATTAGGGTTGTTCAATCAGTGAACGTCTCAAAGGTGATCAATACACTACGTAGGAACATATCAACAATATTTAGTGTAGTCATCTAGAATTTTTAAGAGGTAACAGATGTCGATACTTTAAGGTACCGTGCAAATGATCTGCAGTTGATTGAGTCGGCCATAATACATACCTTTCCAGAGAATACTCTTGGGTTAGATAACTTTGAACCAGTCAGACTATAAAATAGAACTAGGTTGGCAGATAAGAAAGTCTTATATAGGAAATGAAACAAGAATATAGTCCTGTTTAATGGATTGAAGTACCCATTTTAGACATCTGTGTTCGACTAGACTGTCCTATCCAGGACCATACAGATAGATAAGAAGCTTTATCGGAACTAAATTTTTGGTAAGAGCAAGAATAATAAAACAGTAATATAGTAAGTTTTTGGGTCGTCAGGTATTGAAAATTATTACTGTCAAGGTTAGTGACGTGACACATGAGTCTCGATTAACGTTTTTGACAACAATTCAATCAGCATCAGGAATAAATGCATCAGCTGGGGGGTTTATCCGGCTAAATAGGTTCGTGTGTAGTTATCGTTACTGTCCATAGTAACCTCTACATCTGATCAGTCACTTTGGAAGTGTATGACAGCAACACATATCAAGTGGCCAGTTGTGAGATAAAGCCAGATAGAGACATGTTGAGCGTGTATGTAATTTGCTGTAGCCTGTATTACCTTGCAAGTATCTTTGTAATCAAGCACATGTAACGATAAATCAAATCAAAAAGATACTTACTGGAGGTAAACCTTCGGAACCCTACATAAATTAAATAAAGTCCGGGGTAGCTATCCTGAAAATGATCTACTTTTGCTATTTTTAGCTTCAGTCATGATTAAAAACGTAACTCATGCAGCAGTTTGTGCTCCAAGACATTAGTCATCATTATTTGACTAAGTATAGGTCAAGCAATGTTAGAATATTATTGATCTTCAGTGCTTTTTCTCGGTTGGTGGACAGAGGTCAGGTTGTATTAACCTTCGGGTCTCAAGTGTTATAGTTAAATTACGATGCTGTTCTCACTAGGGCAAGTATGTGGCGAACAAATAATTTGAGAATCAAAAGCTGTGAATCTAGTAAGTGCCGAACTGCTTGTAAACGCTCATGTTTTGAGAAAGCTTGGAAGAGGTTTAGAACTATGTTCAGAGAGGTGAAGATATTATGGTCTATCCATGGGGACCTGTGCCTTGTTGCTACTGGTTTAATAAAAGTACTCGGAGATTATTAGGGAAAGGGAAGCGTTTGTAGTAGTTCTTTGAAACAGGATTGCGAAAATTTGAAAGTTTGGAAAGCCATCTGAAATGATGTGAATAAGCATGTACTACATAAACATCTGGCCAAACAGGTTGGTGGGGCCGAACGAAAACCCTAGCAAACGCTTAGCAGCATAGATTAGCTGCAGTAATTATCACCGGTATTCTACTGATGAAACGCTGTTAATATTAGTTTCGGAGTTATAAGATACGGTTTAAAGATCGGTAGCCATGATCTAAAAATATATATACATTGTAGAGAAAATTCATCGAAATATTTCCCTATACTTTGGTTCTCAGAAAGAGCCTCCCACAGCTGTGACTTGGGTTTCTTCAAAGAACTATGACCGGTGTGCGTGAGATTTGATTAAAAATGCTTCACTTAAACAGAAATCCCATGCATCAATGTAACATGAAGTAGTTGAGGAAATCCTAATGATGGGTGGGTCATAATCCGATGACTGCTGTATGAGAAGTACTTAAGCCAACTGAATATCAACTCATAACCTCACTACAGAAAAAAATGATCTCATGCCGACATTAAGCAGCCTTTATGGTTATTCTGATGTTGCTATGTCTTATCTTATTTCCATCTACGGAACGAATAATCAACGGGCTCAACACAAGAAGGTTCAGAAACCAAGATAGAAGAAGCTCAGTTTAAACGTATACTTCTGTCACAAATAGGTCAATCAATACAATTCCTTAGGTGACCGAGTCAATTTCTTCAGCAAACACATTGAAACAGAAACTGGATCTTCCCAGATGTGTCTACTGTAAGGGATAACATATGTCATACTATGCAGTATCATTGTCACTGAGGAATTAGGGCGGCATGAAGTGCGCTCAAAGTTTTCAATACTCTTTTTTGCCTAACATTTCACAAGTGCATTCGAAGTAAAAGATTGCTACGATAGCAGGCACTATCAATCACGGTAGCAGTTTGTGGGTGTTTTAACACGTTATATTGATATTTAAAAGATAACGTACAGTCGTGATACTTAATATTTAACTTACTGACTTCCACTTTTGTTGAAAGCAACATTAGTGAGAGGGAGGATATGTGCACGTAAAATCTAAGAAATTTATTTAAAAAAATATTTTTTGATACCTTATACTGCCCAAATTTTGACTTGTCACCGGAGGATAACTTGGACTTTAGGCGTTCAATCAAATCCTGGACTTGCATTTTTCTCTTTTCAGTTACTAAAGGCTCTTTGGCACATATCTCCCTTACAAGTTCCTCTGTATCGCTTCTAAAAAGTCCATGTTAAGATGAAGGTTAAAAATACTCGGGGGTTAAATCCAAGAGGTCTAATGCCTTGGTTTTAGTTACACCACCCTGTTCGTAGTCCAGTATAATGCCTTAAATAATTTGATTGTGAAAATCGTTTTGAATGGCTCACCTGGTGGAAAGTAACGTAGTAGGAATCGTTTGAGTTTCATTGGACTCACGGATGATGCCACCTGTCGTCTCAAATTAGAAATTATTGCACACTCCAAACAGATGGACAGCTTTAATACCAGTGACCAGTCCTCTAAAGGATTTATCCCAATTCACATGCAATTAGTCGTGATTCTAAATTTCCTTGGCTAAATCAAGCGTATTTCACGTTCTTAAGAATTCCTAAAACCAAATAACACCGAAATCTATGAAAAATAGCCAGCTCAACAAAAATTTTGGATAGTTTCGCTAATAAAATACGCCGTGTCTGTTAGACAGAAATAAGAAATAAAATAGCATTCACCAAGTAACTGGGGAATAGCAGCTACTAGTGACTTTCGAATCTTGTAGTTCTCAAGAAAGACGCTTAAGAGCTTTCGTGAGAGCATTCTTTGGTTTTTATATACAGTGCATGCGAGATTTCATTTGAAGTGTGGGATTCAAGCATCGAGCCGATGTTTCAAATATGAAGGTGACATACTAATGCGGATTGACAAGGTGGGAACAAAGACAGACATGGGGAGCTCCAACTTGAAGAACATCACCGTCCGGTGTCTCACAAGGAGCAATTCTGGGTCCGTTGTTGTTCCTGCACTTAATGAACGACGTTCTGCTGCATATTAGCTCTCCGATTCCCCTCTACGCTGACGACGTCAAGTTATGGAGGGTAGTAACATGCGAAAAAGAATCGAATGCACTACAGAATGGTCGCAAAACACTTGGGGAGTGGGTGACAAATAACGAGTTGGCATTTAACGTAGATAAATGCGGACCCATGTTTTTTCGCACTCCTGATCCACAAAAGGTATCCTACACTCTCTGTAGTTCACATCTTTCTCATACCACAGCAGAAAAAGACCTGGGTTTAGTAGTGACAGAGAAACTGAACACCAGTCCCAGTTACCCAGTAGATGCCTCAAAAGCATACGGTGTACCACACTTTTTGCGTAGACAATTAGGTGCTCTCACTCCAGAGCTCTTTATGAAACCCTACAAGACTTATTTAAGACCCCACCTGGAGGTTCATAGCGTTTTCGTTCCACCACAGCTGTAGAGGGGCAGGAACCTACTGGAGAAAGCTCATAGGTAAGCGACAGAAGGGATGTACCGAAAACCAAATGAGGATAGATTAGAAGACCTAGACCTTTACTCTCTTAGTTACCGAAGGTTACTAAATGATTTGGTAATGGCTTGCAAAATAACCCAAGTTACCCGGACAGAGGAATATTACCTAGTGGCCATTATGGTGATCCTTGTGTAAACCCTAAGAGAATTGCCCACCAAGGGTCAAAAACTCGTATGCGTTCACACTTCTCCAATTCGAGCATGTGGGCACTAGTATGTATTACCAGTAGAGGTAGTCTCTACCCCATCTGTTGAAAGTTTCAAAAAGGGGTAGATGGTTACATAGAGACCCACGGTTTACGCACATCTATTTGGAATACGAACTAGACCTAAGAAATCAACTGCTGTCATACCATTCCAAATATGTTACATCTATATTAGTTTCCTTCCCATCGTAATCATATAAGCCTTTTTCATCCTTTTCACTCGCTATGAATTAGCCTCACCTACCCAAGTTCTTCATATCTTTGCACCCCTCTCGTCTTAGTTGGGTATACGTAGATTACTCCATCAGTTCAATTTTATTTGTGGTTTACTCATACACATTTGTCCTCCTAGGTTATCTCCTCACTATCCTCAGCTCTTTCTAACGATCAATCCGAACAACTGTCTGCCAACTCGATATCCGAAGAACCCAACTGCAGCACATTTCCAGGTAACCTAATCAACACCCAACCTTCCGTTCTGTATACCACAGTTATAGCAGACAAGTGGCTGGATCTACTGCATCGCAATCCACCAAAGACCTGAAACCGTTCCGCAAGACCAAGAGGTAGGCACAGAGAAATCAACTGGTTTACACAAACTCGTTAAACAGATATTAGATATTGGAACCTTTCTTGTGGCGAAATACTGGACCGATTGAGTATTTTCCCATAGAATGACCGTCGTATGAGCGGTGATTTCATTTCATTGTCTGGTATCTTGAATAATTTAGATATTATTCACCTTTAGAGCACTTTAAGACTTTCAGCAAAGGGTCCTAAAGAAAAGCTTTTAGTGCATGTAGAACTGTACAACATCAAAAGGCCCCAATTTTCCAGTCTCAACAATGAGCAGAATTTTATGATGATACCCTATACATACCTTTATTATTACGCATTTCGAAATGTTCATCGAAATAGCACTCTTTCTTTGAAATAAGATGCGCTTGTATACTTGAAGCCCTTAAAATGAAAGGTTTCTCAGAAACCTGGAGTAATGCTCAAAATAGATTAGGTACACTCGAATTATATTCAGGATTATTTCCACGGTTTTTCCAGTCGGTTCAAAACTGATGCTAGCTGGGAATGGTCTATTTCCTAACCTACCTTATAACTTCTTCCACTCCAAAACTGTTCGTCTCAGGAGACACCTCTATAAATTCATCAACTAGGTCAAGGCCATCTACGTCTAGGAATACGCTTTTAGCACACAGTTGTGAATCATTATGTGAACCATAGGTTATGCCGTGTAGAATTTCAACAGGAAAGTTCTCTGCAGCAGCAAAGATGGTCTGGAGCTCCCATCGATGTTCCAAGTAGGAATCTGATCATCATTTGACTATCTGAGATAGACGTAGTTTGACAGAATAGTATTTATACTGCGTGACGACTGAAGGTGAGATGAAAATTTGAACCACGGCCGGATCCAAACCGGCGACCACCTGGTTACTGGCCCGATGCTCTACCAACTGAGCTATGAGGTAGAGCATAGGGCCGGAAACCAGGTGGTCTCTTGTTCAAATCCGGCCTTGGTTCAAATTCTCATCTCACCTACAATCATCATCCAGTAGGAATCCGATCGCCAAAGTACAAATTCTTCTGATAACTGACACATTTTGTAGGGCTACCATCCATATTCCTGAGAAGTGAAACTGAAGACAGACATTTAAATTTGGAGTTAAAAGAAAAATTAATAAGCAATGCATCATTTATAATGGCTTTATAGAGGGCCGTCATAGGGGTCAAAGACTACAGGTTTCGTTCGTAATTCTCCCGTAAAAGCTTCTAAACAGGTGAAATACAGCTTACCTAGACACAATTTATAGCCTTGGACAACTTACAGTAACACCCCCTCGGAAAACAAACATTTTTAAAAATTCATCTTATAAAGGTCATCTGTAACTAAGGTATTAGAAGGTAAAACAACAGCGGAAAAGTGTTTACCTTCAATTCAGTATAGTAAACCAATAGTGGAAAAGACTTTAAAATTAACTCGCACTGATTGATTGACTATGTGCCAGTAGCTGATTTGTTTAGTTGCGACAGTATGTTTGAACTTATAAGCCTTCAAGTACCGCACAAATTACCTTAACGTTGGGCTGTTTCCTGAGATACAGTACTGCTACACAACACCTATGGGGTGAATTCGGATTTTCGTGGTCTCAACTAGAACTGAATTCCATCAGGCTATGCATCATAAATACGGTAGCTAGAGATTTTATTGATGACCTACGACTATTTTTTAGTATTCGTCGGAATCAAGACTTGAAGACTGATAGCAATGGAATTTCCAATCTTCTTCGAATGCAACTTTCAGCTTGACCCTTTTCTTCTGGCTGACTCTGTTGGCGACGTGGCGACTACTTCCTCAGACAGTAGGTTCTTATAGTTCAGTCAAGAAAATCAGTACTTCGCGGGAAATACATTCGTCTTCGGCCTATACAGTCCCTTGCTTGTCTACTGTTATATACCAAACTAGTTAGAAGGAAGAGAGAATGTGGATAATACGCAAGGTCATATGATGAAATCCCGACTACGTCTGTTCTTTGACCACCATAAAGGGAGACAGTTTTCCATGAATATCGTTATTTACTGATAAGGCAGGCCATTATGCAACTTCTAGGGGTGGTTGTCATTTTTACTCCTCCTCAGAAGGCATGGATCGCCGATCAAAAAAAGCTCGCCATTCGCGAACGATTACTGGATTTACTCCAAATGTGGTTGTGCATAAGATGATGGAAATGCCTCACTTACGTCTAGCAACAGAATTCACATCATACAGGTGATGTGCCTTAACACCATTCTATTAATATCTCCCTTCTCTTTCCTCTGTAGGTCGTCTTAAACCTCTTTTAGGGCACAATTCTCCAAGAATGTTAAGATGTTGGTCCAATTCCACTCGGTTATAATCTGGCTAATCTACTTAATGTAGGAAATAAAGGCGGTAGAAGACAGTTCTGAAACGGTAGGACCAGCACTTGATAGTAACAAACATGAAGGGTGAACTTATCACGTGCTGCTTCTTTTAAATGACGGCCCGCCACTCAGAGGTAACCTTCTTAGAGGTTATCACATCCTGAAGCGTAGAAGCCACTGGTACCGACTTCTCCACGTCTCCGTGCCACTGATGAATCACCCGTCACAACACTGTCGAAAATTCCCTGAACTTTGCTTGGGGCTTTGCTACGAGTGTCATCGGTTGTCCATTATAGATGACAACTGCAGACATTATCGCCTGGATACTTTGCACAGCTGTCGGCTGATGGCAGGTATAGGTCTACACAAAGTGATAGACTGTGCTACAAGGCAATGCTTCCACTGTTACCGCCACTATCCTTTCGTCAGCCTGGTATACCCGGCACTGGCACTTCCATCGAGTAGGCTTTCACCGTTCACCCATTTCCAAGCACCCTCAAGTCAGCACCTAGTGCATTTTTCGCAGTTTCCAAGTGTATTGCCGTACAGCAACAATTGTTTCACAAGTTCCAGACGAGCCGCAGGTTTTATCTTATTGTGGCTTGAGGAAAACCACGAGCGTATGGCGATCTGTTGTATAATTCACCTTCCCTTATTAGTTAACCTGTCATAAGTAACCAAGATTGATGCGGAACACCTGGGGTGAACTAGGACTTTGGAGTTCTTGTGACTAGCCCCACATCCGTAATACCGGATACCTACTTCCAATATATTGGAACCTGTTGAAAGGTGGTCCTTTGCTCTTCATTTTTCAGGAATGAGTGGAAAGGCTCGAGTAAATCTAGATCGGGTCGGACTGATATGACCGAAACGTAGGTTTCCCCACCGTGATTACCCACTCGAAGGTGCTTTCTAGGCGAAACTAAAATCCTTGAGTCTTGATGTTCCGCAAGGAACCCAAGGGACAAATGATAATAATAATTGTGCCGGCTGGGCTGACCAAAGGTGCCATGCCGCTTTCCATATGCACTTGGCTTCCGAGGAACGTAATCAAGGAAGGTTCAAGCACTGTCCGCCGTTTGGTATAATAATTTGGCAGTCAATAATCCCGAGACAGACCGCAAGAAAGCAACGTTAAGTGTGAGCGCGTGCTGGAAATAGAGATGACCGAATTTTCCGGCCCCCCTTGATATTCCTTGTGCATGTATCCTCAGACAATAATGGACAGACTGCCGGTCTCTTGGTTACTGCAGGAGACTCTATCCTAGGAGTTCTACAGTTCATCGTCCGATGCCTCCTCAACATGGCTTGACAGCTTCTGTGGAAGGTGAGACTGTTGTCAGTAGGTTCAGTCAGGCATGTATCTGCCACCGGATAGTAGTTGCCTCGACCCTCCTTCCCAGGGTGGCAGTCATCCCATCATTCAGACCGTTTGAGTCCTTCTGCACACCATTCGAGTATGTAACATTAGACGGAGTTCCAGGGATTCAGTTTTGGTGCCTTTTATGGGCTACAGCCTACCTATACATGCTCGGGAGGCGTCTTTGCTACAGATCCCATCAAGGTCGCCCGCCATAGTCACACTCAACAAGCCATTGCATGGCTTTCGAAACATCCTGTGACTGAAAACTGAAAGCTTGTTTTCCAGGACCTATATCCCCCTTGAGAGCTCCGGCGTTTATTCGAATGATCGATTGTTACTACCGCTTTGCCTACCAGTGTACACACGTAACTATAACAACCAAATTACTTGAAGATAAGTGCAGGAATTTTAGCAGGCCGCTTCACGAAATCGAAATTCACACAGGTTCGGGGCAACTGCTATCCGGTGGCAGATACATGCCTGACTGAACCTACTGACAACAGTCTCACCTTCCACAGAAGCTGTCAAGCCATGTTGAGGAGGCATCGGACGATGAACTGTAGAACTCCTAGGATAGAGTCTCCTGCAGTAACCAAGAGACCGGCAGTCTGTCCATTATTGTCTGAGGATACATGCACAAGGAATATCAAGGGGGGCCGGAAAATTCGGTCATCTCTATTTCCAGCACGCGCTCACACTTAACGTTGCTTTCTTGCGGTCTGTCTCGGGATTATTGACTGCCAAATTATTATACCAAACGGCGGACAGTGCTTGAACCTTCCTTGATTACGTTCCTCGGAAGCCAAGTGCATATGGAAAGCGGCATGGCACCTTTGGTCAGCCCAGCCGGCACAATTATTATTATCATTTGTCCCTTGGGTTCCTTGCGGAACATCAAGACTCAAGGATTTTAGTTTCGCCTAGAAAGCACCTTCGAGTGGGTAATCACGGTGGGGAAACCTACGTTTCGGTCATATCAGTCCGACCCGATCTAGATTTACTCGAGCTTTTCTACTCATTCTCGAAGGTTGAGGAACAGAGGACGGCAGCGAGTCGCCACTTCACTCCTTTCCCCACAATTTCTTGCACCTGCCTCCGCGACCGCCCTGAGCCCTCATTTCTCCCTCACACAATCTCCCCGACGTCACCCTTGGAACTCCAACCCGTCGTTTCCCATTTGGGATCCACTTGAAGGCTTGGTTAGGCGCGTGATGTCCCCAAGTGGCCCTCTCAGTGTATGCCCAATCCATCTCCACTTTCTTCCACATATTTGTTGGGCGATAGGTTCCTGGTTGGTTCGTTGACAGGCCAGAGTTCCCCCTTGCCTATTCCTATTGTTCTGGCCATCTGACCTCTATCTTCAGTACCGAGTGAGCGTAGGCGACAGCTGTAGATGAACGTCCGTGGTTTGCCGGAAATGCCTTTCGCAACGCGCCGAGTTTCTGAACCGTCACACAGGAGCACTGACCTACTCGACTGAATTGGTGTTGAAAATGCGGATGTTGTTCTCGCTTTATGCTGAGCGCAGTAGGGCGCAGTAGATCTCCACACTGACTGCAGAATAATGAAGGCCTGTCTTGCTATCTTTCCGATCCCGGCTTTGACGTCCTCATCCGTGTCGCCACCTGCAGTTGAAACGATGTTGTCTAGGTGGGTGAAAGAGGCAACTTCCCTTAGAATTTCCTCGTTTATGGTGACGGGCGCTAGCTGTTGCTGTTGTTGTCGTTATTGGTGGTTGGGTATATTCACCACCTCCGTCTTCTCTACGTTCATCTAAAAGAAGTTCCAATTTGGCCGCCTCTTCTGTTGACTTGTTGGTTTTTGTCTGTAGATCTTGGAGTTAGTGCTTGAAGGCATCACGGGCCATTCCACAGTTCCCTTGGTGTGCCCGAGTTTTGTAACAGACCGCTCTGCAGCTCCCTAAATTTTCGACAGAAAAGCCTACGTTACTCTGAATACTCCTTCGTTTCCTTCGTTGGCCCGACTTTTCGACCACATACGTCGCTACCAGTACAGCTCACCCAGGGTGTCATAATGCATTCCCATAGCTAAAATTTAGGTGGCATTAGTGATGAAAAGAAAATCAGGAAGTTTTCGCACCGTTCACGAGAATGACGTTTCATTAAAAAAATTACATCTGCATCAAACACTGTGGCCACCTACATTCTGTTCGACATTCTCAAATTAGTAGGCCAGCTCTTCACCTTCTTTCATGTGTTTTCTATACTTATATTTATTTACTCATTCCTACAACTATCTTGTCAGCGGCTGCAGATTTGCTGTGGCCGCATTGCCCGTGATAATCAAAAGTTGCTCCTGGGGGGGAGTGAAATTTATGTATGTGGATATGGGCTTGCCGATAATGAGTCTGCACAGTAAAGTTCTCTTGAAGGTGTGCTTCAGTGTGGTTGACAACCATGAGCAGCTGATGCTTTGTTCAAGTTGCGGGCTAGTACTTGTGATCCTTCTGACTGATACCCCAATATCAGCACTGACCGGGCTGGAAATATCTTCACAGACCTCCTTCCAAAATGTCAGGTCTGGAAGCTTCTACTCCATTTCCTGCATCAGTTCGTCATCGTTTAGATGCCACCTTCCGGA